TGTTTATTAGCACATGTAGGGGGAAAAAGCAAATTATAAGAGAAGAAAATGTATATTTAAATATCATTCATAGAAAACAACATATGAGCAACTATGCATATTTCCTCTGATTTTGGAGACAATAAGGATGATAGGGACAAGAGAGAAGGAACCTGGGTCACTATACAACCTGGGAGAGTAAAGCTGCCCATCTACCTTACTGTCCTAAGCTGTTACATGAGAGAGAAATAAACTTCTATATTAGCTGAACCACTCTATTTTGAGATCTCTTTGTGACAGCAGCCTAACCTATACCATAAATATGAAACACACTGATTGCCATGTAAAGGTGGCATATCTGCCCCCCATGTCCCTCCATGAAATACAATAAGATACAAAAAGACCCCTTGTCTTGTTATCCCAAGTGTTGGGTAATTGGTTTTTTCTAACTGTTTAATAATTTTAAAGAAGAAGCTTTTATGTTGCTACCTTGGATGTTACAAAAAAAATTCAGAGTAAGAATCCTTTCTTGATGAGTTCCTTACTTATTCTGATTTTCATAGGTATTTGTGATTCAGGGTTGTGATGTGTCCTCTTTAAACAAAGACGGTCTTTTCATTTCTGTTTCTGATTCTTTCTGTTTTCCATCTGGGCTTTAGAAAGTACATTTTATTCACTCCGCTACCGTAAAACTGAGAGTCTTGCTAATTGTACATTTAAGATCTAGAATTGTTTACCTGTCAGCTGGTATGAAAGGTAAATCATATATGTCTTCTCCTCTTCAGTCACTCTGAAGGCAGAATACTTGTGTTAGCGTATTTATTTTTTCTTTTTCGTACTTAGTTGTTAGATATTTTGTGATTTTAGTTTGGGGCTTCTGTGACGTCTTGTTCCTCTTTTCTCAAAATCCAATGATCATTGGTAACATGTTTATCTTTTAATGTGGGAATCCCCATTTGCTCAGGTGACCATATGGCATCCTACCTCAAGGGACTGTGGAGATGGAGTGTTTAGCTGCCCCAGGGTACATGGAAAGCTTATTTTCTATGTGTATGTTTCACTTGGGGCTAGGGTTGGGGGGAGGGGGTGGGAATCCGACTTTATCTCAGTTTTGCCCCTATTTTCCAATCCCAGAGCCCACTCTGAGGGTCCCCAGTATGAAGTCCCATTTCAAAGGCTAAATAAGGAAAAAAAAAAGAGTCTTTCTTTTCTTTTATTCATTCCACTCTGCCCTAGTTGTTATCTGTAGTTATTTCAGGTCCTGTCCTGCTGTTCTCAGGTCATGTTTCTTAGGAAGTAAATACAGGACTCTCAACTGCTGTCTGCTCTGTGTGGACCGTGGAGAGGGGCCCGACTACTCATCTTTTTCCAGGTGTAGTTACCCAGCTCATGACCATCTCACATTCATTCACTCTGAGTTTAGATGTCCTAGAAACTGGTTTTACCTTCAGTTGTTTGCTTCCATGTGCTCCAGGCTATGGATTTTTCTCAGCTCCTATTTGTCAAATAATCTCATCTGCTTTCTTCTTTGGGACATATCAAACACTCTAATCTGATAATAGCATCATTTCCATTTTCCATTTCCTAAAAAAAAAAATATGTATGCAATATATACGTATGATATATATGCAAATAGTAAAATAAAGTAAAATACATTTATTGTTATACAGACACATATGTTTACTTTTCCATTATTTGGAGAAATAGAGAGAAGCGTGTTATCATTGGCCATTTTAGGCTGAACAATCTGAAGTACTCCTTATAAAATTATTGTATCTCCACAGATTACTCAGTTCAAATGTATTTGTTTACCAAAAGTCATGAATAGGATTATCTTGTTTTTATGATCACACGGTAAATTGCATTAAACAGATTTGTCAAGCTAATTGACTACAGCATAAGATTTTCTAAATAGAAGATGGTAAAGTGATTTCTCTTACATGGGCCAATATTATTGTGATGCCCAAAGAAATATGCCTTCATATAGTATGCTATAAATAATGACTTTATGTATGAGGTTTATTTAAAAAGTTTGACACATATTTTATTTTATATGGTCTTTTGTAATTGATTTTTTACTAGAATCAAATATTGAAGATTTTATACAGTCACTGAAGCATCAAAGTATACTTTTGGAAGTAGATGACTTTAAAAACAGAAATGGTACTGATGGCCTTTCATACAATGGAGCTATCATAGTTTCTGGGAAACAAAAGGTATGTTTGCCTCTTATTTTTGCTTTTATGATCAAAAATCAATAAGAAAATCTTACCTTTTCAACTGTTTTAAAAACTGCAGAAAGTCAAAACTAGCATATAGCAATTTGACTCAGAAAACCACTGTGGGTTATTATTTAATAAGCTATGACATCTTTATAAGTTTTTGTAAAACATGCTCTATCTTAACTTTGAATCATTTAATAGATAATTTTTACATTCAAAAGAAGCCAAATTTAATTGTATTGTTCAAACTTAACGAAAATATAGCTTATAATCATCAGCCAATATAATTATGGATTCAAGGAATCCTATTCAATAGCTAACTATCTGAATGATGTTTTTATATATATTAAGAACATACATTAAATACTATAATAACTACATGAAATCTCTGAGAAAAAAGTATTCTCAGTCTGCTATCTTAGCAAATTTCAGATTGGGTAAAAGAGTGCGAGCCATAGAGATTCACCAAGGAGCAAAACTATTGAAAATACATCTTAATCCTAAGAACTCTTGAGTTGTATTTGCATTCCAATAAAAACAAGGGGCCAAATTAAATGACACTACCTCTTCATTTCTTGCCACAAGGGAAATAAAAACAAAAGTCTTTGAAGATGTTTCATTGAAGTAAATTCTATCTAAACTAACTAAATATACTATAAAGGATGTAATCCCTTTGTGCCAACTTTGGAAAACTACTTTGGTAGCTGCTTTTTTTGTTACTTATCTAACGTATTTACTAAATGAATGATTGGTAATATTTAAACATTGTTGAACCTCTCGATGAATGCATGAACATTTTCATGAACATAAAGTATATAAACATTGCCTCAGAAAGTGTGAAAATGCTTCCTGGGCAGTGTAATATTTTATGAACTGCAACCTTACCTCGTATCCAGAAGATCAGGGTTCCTCTGCTTGCTCACTGTAAACGGACAGTGTCTCCTTGTCAGGGAGACTTTTTAAACTCCAGTAACCAAAATTTCCTCATTGAAAAATGGGGAAAAAATTATCTAAAAATTAATAATACTAATAAAAATCCATATTGAGGGAATGCTGTCTTTGCGCTAGGGCCTAATCTACATGTATATAATCTCATTTAAACCATATAACAACTCATTTAGTATCCCTTTTCACAGATGAGGAAGCTAGAGCTCAGAAAGTCAGTTAACTTGCAGATGGACACAGCTAGAATGTGGCACTATTAGGATCTTATATATAAACCTTGCCTTTGTTCTTTAAGGATTTAGAATTAACATTATTTATTTTGTTTTTGTTTGTTTTAAGGATTATAGATTTTCCCTTGTGTGCAATACCAAGAGATTGCACTGTTTTCCTATTCTTATGAATATTATCAGCAATGGGCTACTTCGAATGTTTAATCATACACAATATATTCGAATTGAGAGAAGCCCATATCCTCTTGTAAGTACTGAATTTACTGACTCTAAACAATTAAGAATTTGACAAGTAGCCTGTGTTTTCTCTCTTTAGCCTTCACATATTCATAATTGATTGTTAGTCCTGAAAATTATTATTTTGTCCTAACATTTTAAGTGGGTTATATCAAACAAAATAGGATTTTTTTCTTGCTAAGTTATTATAAGGTATTATCAGAGAATTATCATGGGGGAATACTTTTCAATATTTTGTCATAGTCTCCTAGGGAATGTTTTGAAAGTTGTACATACTTAATTGCAGAAGTGTATGTGAGAAAGAGAGAGAGAGCAGGAGAGAGACAGAAAGAAGAGAGAAAACACTGAATTGGAAATCAGGAGCATGTGTAACCCCATCTTAGAAGCTTATAAATCTATTATGTATAATTTATCAGTGGACGATCTCCTTTGACTAAAGGGGTAGTTGATTGACTAATAGAAAGGAGAATCTTCCAGTTCTGGGGCTACATGCTACCTAATTCATTCCTTTACCTACCCACAGTTGCTCTACATTGCAGGGGTGTCTGATACACACAGGCTACATTTGCCGGATTCTGTGTCAGCTGTTTACAGTCTGGCTTTAGACAGTTTAGACACCAGAAAGCAGTGGTGGGAGATAGGAGAGCAGGCAAACCCCCCTGATTGGGCTCCAGTCATATCACCTTCTTCCTTTGTCCCTCCAGCCCAGAAGCAACAATGGCTTCCCACTCCATCATCCTTGTTGGATGATCACCATTCACTAACCATTTCATGATGAGTTCCTCTCTATTTTAAGTACTTATGGTAGTTACGGTTCCCGGGTTAGAACCTGACTTATACCAAGAGGGATCTCTCAAAACTGACTCCAACAGTTTCACACCAGAAATTTGGAAGAGCAATAAGCAGGATTAGACACGGATCCGTCAAAAGGGAAGCTCATTTTATGACAAAGGTGTGGAATTCAGCTTTGGCTCCACTGCACCAGAGATGCTGGGAATACATGCAAGTGCAGGTTTTCTGCAGGCAATAGGGAAAATGCAGGTGAAATAGACAGTACTTGAGGGTCAGTGGTGGACATATACATCTGTGAGTTGAATTGTGACTGACCAACTACATGAGCAGGGCGAGAACAGGATGGTTTAATGTAGCTGTGTCTGCAGAGAACCCCCAGAAAGTGGAACCAGCGAGGTAGCAGAAAGGGACAGGTGTACTCCCTCTTGGTTCTTTAGTTCCCCATGCCATTGCCTGTTTGCTTATGATCAAAATGGACTGAGGCCCCTGGCTACTCTTTTAGGCACACCCCACTCTCCACCCTCCGTGTCACACACCTTTCCTCTTTCATTCCTATGGTGACAGTAATGCATTTTCCTACCTGGTGAAAAATTGGAATTTATAGATGTAGCCTTTAAAGCCTTAAATAAGCTTTAAGAATTGCAGAATTATTTTGAGACAGGCTTATGCTGCTGTCCTGTAATTATATGCAGGAGACTACCCTATATGCCACTTGGGTGTAGGCCCAGGCTCAGGCAGACGCTGATTGAGGGGTAGTGATTTAAAGTTCTTCTCCCTGAAGATGGATTCAGCAGCATCATGTTTTCTTTTCAGCCCTGCACTTCAGAACACATCCACCCAACTTTTCACATATCCATCTCTAGTTTTGCTGAGAAAGACATGCTACTAAGGTCTAAATTATCTGTTCATTGAGTGTCATAATTCCTGAATTTTTTCTTCTTTTTTTACTGTGGTGAAAACACATAATATAAAATTGACTGGTATAACTTTTTAAGTGTGGAGTTCTTCAGTAATATTAAGTGTATTCACAGTAGTATTAAGTGTTGTGAAATGGATCTCTAAAACTTCATCTTGCAGAACTGAAATTCTATACCCATTAAACAACTCCCCATTTCCTCCTCCCCATGCCCTCTGGAAACCACCATCCTACTTTCTATGTCTATTAATTCGACTACTATAGATACCTCATATAAACGGAATCATAGTATTTGTCTTCACTGGTTTATTTCATTTAGCATGTTTTCCAGGTTCATCCACTTTGTAGCCTATGACAGGATTTCCTTCATTTTTTTTTTTTTAACATTTTCAGTCAAATTTTATTTTAAAAAAAGCAGCAGATCAACATTACAATTCAAGAATCTAATCTAAATATGTACTTGACAATGAAGCACATCTGAGTATGGAGTGAAAAAGTCTTCCAAAAAAACCATCAAATATATTATCTCCAAATACCCAAATAATAAATCACTTCTGTAGGCCTTTTGTTAAGTGGAATCATAAACAAAGAACTGAAGATTTATTGCTGTGAAAACAAATCTGTAGTACAGTAGTACGAATCTTGGGTATTAAGCATAATCAGTTGAATCAAGTTAAGAAGTTGGATTTCCTTCATTTTTAAGACTAAATAATACTCTATTGTATGTATATGTGTGTGTATGTTTATACATATACACAGACACACACACACATATAAACACACACCATATTTTGTTTATCCATTCATTTGGACATTTGTGTTGCTTCCACCTCTTGGCTATTGTGAGTAATGTTGCTATGAACATGAATGTGCAGATATCACTTTGAGACCCCTACTTTCAGTTCTTTCAGATACATACCCGGAAGTAGATCCTAAATTATTTTTGACTTCTCTGTGTTCTTTGAGTTGAAGGCTGATGTTAAATGATCAGAAATATTTTCCCTTCCACCTCTGTGCATAGATGTTGATGAACTACACCTATACTTTGATTTTTCAATATTTCAAAAAGCATATTCTTTATGGTTATTAATATTTGTTTCATTTAAAAAACATTCACTAAAGTACCTTCAATATTTGCAGAGCTCTGTATCAACAGTCTGGACGGGGCTGCCAGATGGTTCCATTTTCTTATTTTTGATTTTATGCAGCACGTCTCCTTACATCGCTATGAGCAGCATCAGTGATTACAAAGTAAGGAAAAGGGGGAAAAATAAAAAAAAAAAACTTCAGGAATTTCGATAATTGTATTTTGAATGCTATGTGTTCAAAATGTTTTCCTCTGAGAAAAACACTTAAATATATGTTTAATGTAGATAATGTAGCTGAGCATCATTTCTAACAAGTCAGAAAATTTACTTCTAAAAATACAAAATTCTTTTTACTTCGAAGTTACAGGAAAATGTACAATGATTTTTCAGAGACTAAAATTAGTCTAAACCTTCAAAGGGAAGGCATTATAAATCTTTTGACTACATTGTTTCCTAACTACAAGGAAGAAATAATTGATGTTGAAACTGAAGACCAAATTTATGACTTGAATTCCTTTTCCACTGTGGAAATTAAAATTCTTTGTAATACTTTTATTTGATTATGCCCATTATCAAGATAAAACAGTTAACTTTGGATTCAGCCTTCATAAGTCTGAGCCAATAACTCTCCAAGAAGATGTTTAAACAAAGGAAAATGTATTATGTCCTTCAGATCATAAAATAACATTCCTTTTGAAGGAGCTTAACACCTTGATCATTATGAGACCTACTTTTCTATTTATTATTCATGAGTTAAAATGGTTTAGCAAACAAATCTATCAAATGAAATAATATACTTTTTTTTTAAGTGGCCACCTTTAAAACTATGGAACTGGCTCTGTAGATCTCAGCTTCCTAAACAGTATATGCATAATTATTTTTAAGAATATTAGAAGATTAGATTATAGTTACCTTAAAAAATTCTTCCAATGTGTTTTTTTAGATTTGCGTTTTAATTGAATCTATGTATATCCTGTGTTTTCTTATCAGAAGAAAGCTAAGTCCCAGCTATGGATTTCTGGCCTCTATACCTCTGCTTACTGGTGTGGGCAGGCACTGGTGGATATTAACTTCTTCATTTTCATTCTCCTTTTAATGTATTTTATTTTCTACATAGAAGATGTGATGAATGTTTATACTACGAGTAAAATTGTGTTGGCTATGGTGAGTAACACAGTACATATACCAAATTTTATAAAGTATTTAGTCATAAATTTTAACACTTATTTTATGTAGTCAAGATGTTTTAATTTTTTATTTTGTCATAAACCAAAAGAAAAAGCATTCAAAGTGCAAGTGTAATAAAATATTTGTCATTTAATTTTTCCCTCAGATAATTCATTTTTTGACTATGATATTATTTGTATTACCTTTAGGTTATAATTACGCCTGGTTATGCAGCTTCTCTTGTCTTCTTGGCATATGTGATATCATTTATTTTTCGCAAAAGGAGAAAAAACAGTGGCCTTTGGTCATTTTGCTTCTATTTTGTAAGTACACATACCTACATATAAATAGAGAAATACAGTTACTTTTTAAACTTTTGGTGTAATGTTAAATATAATCATTTTGCCTTGAGCAGTGGGGAAAATTAATAATATTTTTAAATTACACCAAAGAAAGTAGAAGGAAGTGGAACTCTGTTACCATATCAATAATAATTTCCTGAAGAACCCAGGTACAGTCCTTTGAAAACATCCCAGAAAACCTGAAATTCAAAATATGCTCTTGATTTTATGTATCCTTCAGAATACAGGGCTCCCTGGAAACACTAGAACAAAAATTGGCTTCATAACAGTTGACAGTACAATCCATTTCTACAGTCTTCAAGAAGGTCTCTCTTAACCTTAGCTGCTAATAGTTTTAGATAGTGATGATGTTTTATACTTATGCCAGATTACTTATTAGTAAATATATATAAAAGTAAAGAGTTTGTCCAAGATTATGGAAAACTTTGCTGGAAATGTTTACAAAAACGCTTAGAGACCCAGAGTGCCTTGCATCCTGCACTTTAGGCATCCTTTAATGGAGATCCTCAACCGGTGGTTGGATGTCTGTCTTGAAAACAGCTCCCAACTGTTGGAATGGAAGTCCTGAAACCACAAGAGGAACCCAACCAAAGATCATCTGTAAGAAAATACATTTGATACCACCCAGTGACTTGTGTAAGAAATTAGTCTTGGACTCTTTTGGTCAACAAGGAACTGTTGTTCCTTCTCAGCAGACAGTACTCTGATTTGACTTCTCTATAGTTAGCGAATAGTGTCTATTACTATCTCACCATCATGAGCACAATCCAATCCAAGGAGAGAAGCTACAGAAAGAACTACAGAGTTACCTGACTTGGAAAAACTAGCTTTGAGGCAATCATGAGGATTAGGTGCACCAAAGGTCTTTCCATTCATACTTTCCATGCAAGCATTTGTGTTCAATCAACAGATTTACTGCCATTGTCCAGTGTAATCCCAGAAGCTGCATATTCAGATCAGGTGGCAGTAGAAGAGAGTCTTACTGACACTGTTTTATTTTTTTCAACTAGCATTCTTATATATGTCTAGACAAAGAATTCACTTCCATTCTTTGTGTTTACCCATAGTTTCAACTCTGAATGAAATTAAGCAATGTCAGGGTTAATGGCTGTGAACAGGTCTGTGACTTCCAGCCTGAGTGGCCTTGGGGATGCCCCAGTGAGTGCCCTCAGACATGGCCTTTCAGCTAATCATTCTTTTTTTTTTTTCCTTAGTTGGCTGACTATAGGTTTTTATTTATTTATTTATTTCAGATATTATAGGGGTACAGATGTTTAGGTTATGTATGTTGCCCTTGCCCCCCCCCAAGTCCGAGTTTCAAATATGTCCATCCTTCGGGCAGTGCGCATTGCACTCTTTGTGTATGCATATACCCATCCCCTCCTCCCTCCTACCTCCTCCTCCCTCCCCCCTGCCCAGCATCCAATAGATGTTAGTCTTATATGTGCACTTACGTGTTGATCAGTTAATACCAATTCGATGGTGAGTACATGTGGTCTTTGTCTTTCCATTCTTGGGATACCTCACTTAGTAGAATGTGTTCCAGCTCTATCCAGGAGTATACAAGAGGTGCTATATCACCATTGTTCCTTAAAGCTGCATAGTACTCCATGGTATACATATACCACATTTTATTAATCCACTCATGTATTGATGGACACTTGGGTTGTTTCCACATCTTTGCAATTGTGAATTGTGCTGCTATAAACATTCGGGTGCAGGTGTCTTTCTTATACGGTATCATTTGGTCTTTTGGGTAGATGCCCAGTAATGGGATTGCTGGATCGAATGGTACTTCTAGTTGTATCTCTTTAAAGTATCTCCATATTGCTTTCCACAGAGGTTGCACTAGTTTGCAGTCCCACCAGCAGTATGTGAGTGTTCCTATCTCTCCGCATCCACACCAACATTTATTGTTTTGGGACTTTTTGATAAAGGCCAGTCTCACTGGAGATAAGTGATATCTCATTGTGGTTTTGATTTGCATTTCCCTGATGATTAGAGATGTTGAGCATTTTTTCATATGTTTTTTGGCCGTTATTCTGTCTTCTTTTGAAAAGTTTCTGTTCATGTCCTTTGCCCACTTTTTGATAGGGTTGTTTGATTTTTTCTTGTTGATTTTCCTGAGTTCTAAGTAGATTCTAGTTATCAGCCCTTTATCAGATTTGTAGCATGCAAAGATTTTCTCCCATTCTGTAGGTTGCCTGTTTGCTCTTGTGACAATTTCTTTGGCTGTGCAGAAGCTTTTTAATTTGATCAGGTCCCATTTATTTATTTTGCTTGTTGCTGTGATTATAACTCACAACTTGGAACATGGTTCCTTTTTATTTGTGGCTTCTCCCTCTCTTTGTGTTGACTCCCCTTACACAGAAAGCATTCCAGACTGGGGCAAATGCACATCTAGATGGACACAGTTTTACTATGTGTCAAGAGAAAAATCAGCTTCTGGTTTACCTTATACTAACAATTTATCCAGATTTGTATGCAGTTGGTGATCTCTCAGATGAGGGAGCTTTCAACGTCAATGATGGAACGGAACCTCAGACCCTTGTCTTTCAGCTCTCAGTGGAGAAGCTGAGCAGGGATGATTTCCTCATGGATGAAGGCTCTGTAGTGATGCTGTGGGTTGGAAAACATTGTGGGCAGAATTTTCTCAGCCAGGTTCCAGGAGTTCAAATCTATGCATCAGTTCCACAGAATATGACAAACCTTCCAGATCTTGATACGCTGGAATCTTCTAGAACAATAGGTTTCATCTCTTGGATTAGAGAACAGAGACCATTTTCCCTTTGTGGGATAAGGTGTGAGAGACTAATGAGAGCAAACTTCCTTTAAACACAGCAGAAGACAGATCAGAATCTGCATTATCATATTATGAATTCCTCTCACATATACAGCAAATGAATAAAGAAAGAAATTTGACTTTGTTATTTCTAAAGAAATTCATAATAATACAGAACACCTTCTACATTAGTCCATCACAGTGGACTAATGTGATGATTAGGATGTTCTTACTGTGATTTGAATAAACTCCCCCAAATAAGGATCACAGCAGAAAATCAAACATGACACTCTGAAACACTGTATTTTTAAAACGAAAACACATCTACATATTATTAGATACTTTTTTTCCTTTGTTGCCAATTACACTTGAGTTATCATGGATTGAAATAAAGCAAGACAATATTTCATAGGCAAAGTGCATTTTGTAAAATAAAGACTGTTCGAAATGTGAAAACAAAATTACAGCACAATGTTATAGTATAATGTGTATTTATAATTTCTGATTATTCTCCCTTTGGTTTTCTTATATTTATATATTTCAGTGTATTTATTTCATTTTTTATATCATTGAAAGGAATCTCCATATCTATGGAATGATGGAATGTCAGGCTTGAAAGAATTTCAAGCTCATGTGGTATAATTTACCCAATCTAATAAAGGAAAAAATTAAGTAACTTGCTCAAGATCACACAAAAATTAGTGACAGAGGAAAAAACTTGGGGTCTCAAAGCTTGTGTTATTCCTCATGTCAAAAAATATGAGACAGTAGCATAGTTGGTAATACATAATACTGATTCAAAACTTGTGCTGATCAACACATTTTTATTTAAGTAGGCTAAAATATTTCAAAATTATACATCTTCACAAAGACCTCAAGCAATTTGCACCAAACTTGGCATTTTACCTGATACAAATAACTTATAATTTCGTTCTATGTATTGAAGGTATATGTTGTGAGAATTTATCTTTTTTTTTTTTTTTATTTTGAGACAGAGTCTTGCTCTGTTGCTTGGGCTAGAATGCTGTGGAGTCAGCCTAGCTCAAAGCAGCCTCAGGGGTGTGGTGCTTCATGGTTATCCTAGACCTCTGTCTGATAAGGGAGCATCTTTTCAGCTTATTACACTGAGCTATGGAGGTCTAGCATCACATCTTAGCACACTGAGCCCTAGATTATCCTGTGATGCTCTCAAAGTTTAGAATCCTCTCTCGTTCCAGCAGATGAGAAAGGAAGGAAAAAATAGTAAAAACTTGGAGGCCTGGTAGATTAAGAGATGTTAGCTAAATGGACTAAAGGACTTAAGAGTTATTAAGAAATAAGGAGATAGTCTGTTACCCACTGTGAGTTGATTTTTGTGAGAGGTGAAAGGTGTGGATCCTGTTTCAGTCTTCTAAATGTGGCTATCCAGTTTTCCCAGCACCATTTATTGAATAAGGATTCTTTTCCCCAGTGTATGTTTTTGTTTGCTTTGTCAGAGATTAGACAACTATATGAGGATGGTTTTATATCTGGGTTCTCAGTTCTGTTCCACTGGTCAATGTCCCTGTTCTTGTGCCAGTACCAAGCTGTTTTCATTATGATAGCCTTATAGTATAGTTTGAAGTCCGGTAGATTGATACCTCCCATTTTTGTTTTTATTGCCTAGGATTGCTTTTGCTATACAGGATC